GGTCAGGAATGCCAGAATAAATTAGAACGGGATGCGCTGTTCATGAAGGGCGTGTGTTTGTTTTCAGTATTCTAGATAGACGGGTGTAGATTGATTTTGCGCCATCAGGTTGAAAGACACTCTCAGTAAAGAACTACTTAGGCTTCCGTGACATACTCCACGTGCCCTCTTAGATTGTGACTTTGGTCCAGTTGTTTGGCATAATGGAACGACCATCCCAGTCTGGTTACAGGTTATCATACTCCTGTCAATAAACTAGTCGCATACCCTAAGTTGCCTTTTCTTTTCAGTGTGTGGATCTGCGAATGAATTAGAAGTATATGTTAAAACTGGTTGTATGCGTGTTGCATATCTTCCACTGTAGCACTGTCAACGGTAATATCTGGTAGGTAGTCGACTGGCAAATAGAGGCAGGGTCTGTGGTGATTACATGTGATCTTTCTGCCTGTCTAAGCAGCTGTTAACAGTAACGAGGCGCATCATTTAACTTGTGCCACAGACCATCTTCGTGATTTTGACAAGTGATGATTCAAGCAACAGTGGTGTCCAATAGTGTCCACGAATAATAACGGAGAGTCAATTATGTTGCACATGGTTTACTGTCATTGCTAGCGACCAAGCAAGTGTACAAGCGGTAAATTCAATGCAGCTTAATAAATCCTTGAGCAGTCCACTGATTAATGCTGAACGTTGCCAACTATCAGGTTAAGAAACACGGAAACACTGCTAATCTTAGTCAGAATGTACTTAAGGAACGGTGTTCCTACCGATATTCTCCTATGTGAACTTTTTTGTTAAGCCTTTTCGCAACTTTTGTCACCATCCTCAATAAAAGTGATCTATGACCAAAACTGTCCATAGGATCTCATATTGAAGTGTCACGCATCTCCAGATTTATTTATCACTTTTACGCATGTTCAGGTTACCCTATGTGGAATTTATGGTAATACACTGTGTCTGAAAGTATAAGTATCTAACAAACACCAGTCTATCACTGAAGCAACGGGTACTGTGCAATTACCGAAGTGCTGTAAACATATAAATAACGAAAACCTTAAACAAAGCAGAAAAAAAACAAGGCGGAAATATTGACGAAAACTTTGAGGACATTCACTAGACATATGTAGCTAGTTGTTGCCGTACATACGTTGCATTCACGGGCATTTGTTGTTTTCTAATAACTGATTTCACACCAACTTGACGTATTAACACGGTGCACTGTTATCTGCTTCAAGTTTTCTTCAAAAATCGTCCAGAAATTATTGATTCGCGTGTGTAAATTATCGATTTTAAGCATTTTGAAGAAAAACAAACAAAACCTGATTAAGGTCTTGTTGGTTATGTTCTACGTGAACTTTGTTAAAGCAGGCTAATCGACGCAAGTCGATTATTACCATGATTAAATCCATACAGATAATTGTTTTTGTTTCTGTATAGTTCGTGCGTTTTTCTCATCGTATGAATAAACAGTCGCCTTTAGTCACACTTAGTCAAGCCAATACATCATCCGTAATCCTGCAGTGAATTCCGAGGAATGCTGATTATTTCAAACTGAACTGTATCCACATTTCACCACAGTTCCTGCATTCAAATAAAGCGTACGCCCGGTCAACTTTGCAGTAAAGCAGTAGAATCAACTTCCGCTCACATTAAATTTAATCAGTAATGCATATCCTGGTACTGTGTTTTTACCGAGACGATCGAGCAATCTGAATACTATTTGTACAAAGTTACGTTTGAGCGTTTAATTACGAGTGATCGGTCACGCCTGATGTAACGTTATTGGCGTTGTGATTAACATGCCAATTTTCACATAACACTTAATCGATTGAACTGGAAAACTGCAAACAAGTTTCCTGAGCCGGTCTCAATCCTGGCAATTCCCTGAGGTCTACGTGCAACCCAGACAACTTCATCGAAGTCTAATGTTTCGAAAAAACTGTTGGACATTGTCCGGCCAAAAACCGCTCCAAACAGTCAGAAATAATTTCAACTGCGAACTGCCACATTGCAAAGTCTATCAGCTGGCCTACTCTTTAGGATATTGGTCGTTTGATTTCGTTAACTTCTTTGTTAAATGCCAGGCTAGCCAGTCGCTGGTAGGCTGCAATATTGTTTCTATTCACCCGCATTTTGTTATATTCAGTAAACACACGGAACTAGTAATTAATAACGGGTATGGAGACAACAACTAATTTGATCAGAACTCTTGCAACCATCCTAGGTAAGACGAAGTAGATTTCAACAGGTTAGAAAAAGTTTGAATAACCAACGAGACTGAATGCAATCCAGTTCATGAAGGTCTAGAGAATGTAAAGAGAAGGTATAGAGAATTGTTATAGCATTTCAAAACACACCGGTCTCCGAAGAAGTCCCTTGAAGTTCAAACGCTCTTAACCGATGAACAACAAAAGTGTATCAAAAGATGCGTGTAGAATTGATGAGTCGCTTTAAGCAGCCAGTCCAATGCTTTTTTGTGACACAGACCCCAAATCGTATTGTAGTGTACAAATTATAAAACCAAGGCTAGTAGTAACGGTGGCTAGCCTGCCAGTCAAATTACGAACAGGTGCAGTTTTTTGGTTAGCTTTGATCAGTCAAGCAAAAATTAATGATTCCATTAATTAGTTCATTCCCTTCAGAAGTTTGAACAAAACAATCAGAAAACGAAAACTTTTAGATGCAAGGCTTCTTAATTAGTCGATCAATTCAGCCACTGGAGTACGACAGTTGAATCAATCAAAAAGTTGTCGCCATTTCTTTTAAGAAACTTAATGGAAATATTTTACTTGTGATAAACAAACTTCGTATGCTGAGTTTCTTCCACGAACAACTGTTGGTATGATACTTAACCGTCCAGCGGGTATGCATAGGCTTTCCACTAAACCATATCCTATACGCCATATCACTGTATCCCATGATCATCCGTTATGGCAGATGTCAATGAAGAACTTCATGTCGCATTTATTGAACTGCATATAAATATGCTCTAACCTCTGTTTTTATTTGCTGAAACATTTTGGAGAACTACGAACTTAAGTGGGTTCAAAATGTTGTTGCACCGTGTACAAAGGAGAACATGTTAAGCTTTATTGGTCACTGAACACATCACAGACAGACAGATTGCCCAAACTGTTCAGGGGAGCGCGTTGTCTGATTGTTATTTAAGACCTCTTACCGAATATCACTTAATGACGTGCACAAACTGACATCAGTAAAACATTATATTATATATATTATATTATAATGACGTTTCCCGGTCACTGAAGTTGAATTATTGTTAAAGGTTAAACTTGTACTACAGAAGTGGCTGGTCATCCTATTTGTCAAATGTATTCGAACTCTGTCCCGTTGAACAGGAATGTTTGGATTCTGTAACAGAAGCATGGGGTGTCAAGGTAGAGCGTGTAGAGATCAAAGATGTCCGCCTGCCAATTCAATTACAACGTGCTATGGCGGCCGAAGCGGAGTCTGTACGGGAGGCCACCGCTAAAGTCATCGCCGCCGAAGGTGAAATGCGCGCGTCAGGAGCACTGAAGGCGGCCGCGTTCGAAATCAATCAACATCCAATCGCTATGCAACTTCGGTACTTGCAAGCCATGAACAGCATCTCATCGGGCAAAGAATCCACCATTGTTTTCCCGGTTCCGTTAGACTTGTTTTCCTTTTTCCGAACGCACTGTGATAATACAGACTCGAAAGAACTAACGGCAGCAGACGGAAAGAAACTACTGGAGCAACTAAGGCTTAGTCTTGAAGATTTGCAGATACGATCCGAATTGCAAAAAGACTTGAACGAGGACTACTTTTCACATGACCAACTCGATGCATCTACATTGATTGTCTGAAACCTAATCCCGCATAAACCCACGCCTATCAACAATGCTAGGAAGAAGCACCATCTGGTTAGAAAAACTGTTTAATGTAAATAACTATTATGTCAATAACGATGGAAAATGTGCTTAACGTAATCTATATAATTGTGTTCTTTTTCTTTGTTAAGAACCGAAACTGTACTTTCGCACTCAAAGGCTTGCCAGACTACTAAACTGTTGTGAATTTAACAACCTCACTCCTAAACTGTTTTTGTCAGAACGGATTTCCAAAACGATGAAAAACTTGTTCGGGTTACTGTAACTGCTTTCACTAATCGGTGGTCACACCAAATTTTTCGTAGCAATTGACCAAAAACAAATGCTATGAAACCACAACTAATGAACATGGAAGCCAAAATTCGTTGAAAGAAGCATGAGTGTACTCTTAAGCAAGGAACACGTGTGCAAAGACAATCCCAGTGACTGTCCAATGGTCCTAATTAATAATTCTTCTGGATTACATCAACATGGTCTGCTGGAAACCAGCGGACGCCAACTGACCTTGCATAAGATAAAAGGTATCTGTCATCCATTGCTGACAATGCAACTTTTAGTCCGTACCACTATTGTCTCGAGCAAATCTGTTAATTTTCTTTTAATGACTAACGAATTTGGGCAAAATCGTTTAGAGATAATACCATTAACCACGTTATCTTTTAAAATGATTGGAACAAACACTGGGCAACAACAACTGATGAAATATTCATCAGTTCTAATCTGACAAAGGTCTCGGCTAACAACATTCCTCTAAAGCAGTTTTCTGAAAATGAAGATGGATAATGACTTGCCTTGCAGGTTGAAACAAATTACAGTTACTAGCGCCCATCTTTGAAACAATGTTATTTTGTTATTAACAAACATGTAAGCCACTGTTGAGCACTGGAATTTTATTACTAATAAGTAGTTTGGCTTATTGATGAGTTCAGTTGATACCCAACTGTGAAAAGTCAGGGCTTCGGCTGGATTCAAACCAGCTCAACAGTGACGTTGGTGAATTCCAGCCTGAACTAGTTGAAAAATCCTGTCGGTGCACCCGATCCCCTGGATCATCTAGTGGATTCCATATGAGATATTTGGACGGGTGGGTAACCGAGTCCAAATGTGAAATTTCCGGACTCCTGGTGTGGCTTCGTAGCTCAGCGGGTAGAGCGCTTTGCCGCGTTGAGGCATGACGTTTCTGTCATTGGTTCGAATCCAGTCGAAGCCCTGACTTTTCGCAGTTGGATCTCATCTAAAATCATTAATCTGCCAAACTACCTATTAGTGAAACATGTAGGCGTTCGTCGACAGAAAGAATGGTTAAATCCAAAAGGTTTGTTTATTTTCAAAAAACTATGGGCAAACTAAAAGGTGAGCATTACTACCAGCCTATAGTACATTTGACAACAAAATCCTATAATTATCCAACTGTCTCGTAAGAGATAGTAACTAAGGGAAACGTAATATGTGAAGAACCGAGTGAGTTCACAACAGTAAGCAGTCAACAATTGTATACGTAATTAAATGAAGTAAGCAAATCAGACACACTTGTCAGTGTCTACCTAGAGCATTGATTAGGTCACCGCGAGAGCGCCAGGATAGTAGCACGCGTATGGTGAGAGTCTAATCGCAGAACCATGAAGAGTTTGAGGACTCACTAGAGATTCTGGGTTTGTCACTTACCTTGGAACATTAGTTCTAAGCGCTGGAAAAAACAACAGTGAATAACAGATAAGCGTACATTGAGTCGTTATCCTTCCAAAACGTGAAAATGGCAAAAACTCAGTATGTGCCGTATAATATAGGATAGAACCAGGAACCGCAAGATAGCTGGAGCCTTTCATCCAGAAGTTGTCACTATTAACAGAAGCTGCTACCCTCCGTGCTTAAACAAGAACTTTCAGAAGACAAACAAATTACTACTGAATAACATTCAAAATATTTCTTTCTATTCCTACTATGCTCGAGACTGTGGAAGAAGTGCGAGCAAATAACATTCTTGAGGAAGGACACCCGAGGTGTAGTGGACCTAAACACTATACAAAATTCAGGTATGAACTCGAGATCAAAAAGGCGATAAAAATGGGAACAAATAACTCACAATGGTTCTATAAGTGCTTTGATTTATAAATCCACTATATTAAATGCAGTATCCAACAGATACAATCCGTCGTGCGTTCCTAATTAATCTTGGAGGTCAACAACTGAGGTAATTCCAATGACGGATAAATAAGGAACTTTGCCGCAATAGTCGCTTGATTCCGTTAGCTTCTAACTCTCCAAAATTCAGTGCACCAGCGACCCGAACACAAAGAGAACGCAAGGCTCGCGAACCGAAAAGTGAGTGAGTTGTATTTACTGATTATCGATTAGTTCGATTAAGTTGGTTTAAACGTTGGTTGTGTACGTGGAGTTGAGGAAAGTGAAAAGTGTGAATAATAATCAGAATTTTGAAATAGAAAATAGTGTGCAAAACGTTACAGACGATCGATGACCCTCGTTCACATCGTGTGTACGTTCGATTAACCTCGTTCACATCATGTGTACATGTGAGGTTGAAGAAGATGAAAAGGTATGAACAACAATAAACATTATGAAGTAGAAAATAGTGTATTAAACGCTACAGAGGTGGTTGCTCATAACGTTGTGTTATTAACACTCCATTTGTCACACCGAATGCGATTCTTATCATGGTCCGATTGGACTTAGCGTGTACGTTACACCTAACCCACTGAGGCCTCGGTGGCCTATGAATACACAAACCTCACGATTTGCACTCTGGCTCAACAAAGATGTACCTATCGGTCTGAACACCGCAATCCAGATAACCGACGAACGTCCATCAGCCAAATCAGTCAAGTGGTTCAACTAGACGTGCTGGCTTAGCTCAACGTTGGTAGCGGTGGGATCCGTTTATTGTAACAATCAAACCGGTAGCAGTTCGGCTTCATTGATATATCGGACCGGATGAACCGCTCATTTGGAACAAGCCCAAGCATTTTAGAGCTGTTAGCCAAAATGATCTTAGAAGGGGCACGATGTAACACGGAAGGTATTGCTAATGGCAAAAAACCAGTTACAACAGCTAATTCACTATCAACCTTTGTTTACCTTGGGTTTAATCTTGGGTATCAATTACGATCTAGCTCGATTTGAACTTTCACTTGTTTCAGTTAAGTTTCGTTTGTTTCGTTTTCATGCTAGTTACATGTTTACGACTGACAAGAGTGGGAAAAATGAATTCACATCGTAAGTTATGTTTTCTGACTATTCTATTCACATAGTTCCAAATAGACAATAACAAGAGCGAACATTCTACCAACATTTATATTGTCCTGATTAATATGGCTGTTTGCACGAGCCAGTATACCGGATTTCGCTTTTAAGATCTTGAGAAATGAGTCAAATATGAGTCATCTTTACTTTCGGTAGATAGCGTTATTCAAATGTTAACATCTAATTTACTGGCATTGTTGCCATCCATCTGACAATAGTTTTACCATTTGAAAGAAAAAAATTATGAAGAAAAATTAAAACCATGCACTTCGGTGACCTGGCTGATGAGAACAATCTCCCTTCCGATTTTCTTATTAAAGAGTACAGTTGGCGGTGCATCTGTCAATACAAATGGCAAAGACAAGGGTTGTGAATTTCGCGCCAGCCTCTCTCTTTTGGTATGCAAAACCTTATTTGATAGTTCACTGTATGTAAATCCAAATTTTTTAAAGTCACAGAAAGGATTTGGTTGATTACTTTTGTTCCTGAAGGCGCGCTACAGACCTTGAAAATCAAAAGTGCCACTGTCTGTTTCCAAAGTGGACAGTTGAATTAAGACTACATTCGGTGTCGTCTGATAAGAAACGTTGCGACTAGAAATTATTGTCCTTAAAATCAAGAAAATCGATTGGAATATCATCCCGAAAATAAGAAGGTTAACACTAGAAGTACTGATTGTCTGCCATATTCTTCAGTGAAGGGGTATGGTTAGTGAACAGCGTAGACAGATCTAACCAAACGCTAAATAGATTTATTCGCCAGCTTCATTAGGGGAACGAGACGCGGACTGAAATGGGGTGTTGTCCTCATTAAGTTCGAATGTTTTGCTAAGACTGTGTTGTTACTATTGACACTACCGTTGATGATTGTAATTATGGCCGCTTCTCCAATGTTACGCCCTTTTGTGGCAGGAAAGGGTTGTTTCATTACTTTGGAAAGCGGTTTGTAACCCTTGTTCACGCATTTTTTGGCTTCCGCTTATCAGCATATATACTTCAACCAGTTGCTGCGCTCACAGTGGTTATGTATGATTTAATGCGCAGTCCAATGAACCGAAGGTATTATGGACCAGGATGTTAATTATCGCGAAATGAACGAACGCAACAAACCAAAAGAATGATGCCAGAAAACCCTCGGTAACCGAGAGCTCGAACCAACAAAAATGTTCACTAATTACCACAGCACTTCAAACTGTCCGTATTGGATAATCAATACCCGTTCGCAGTTATACGTTAATTATCGAAACAGGAAAGGTGAGCTGATGACGTACCTAGTACGACCGAAGTAAAAGATCAAATGTATACTGCACGGAGTATCATCGGGTGATTACACACATAGATTCTTACAGAATGTTGTGGGCACTGCTTCTTGGTTACTTGGTTTAATTCGAATCATACGCAAACTTGATGTGAAAATAATTACTTCAACCAGTGAAATGTTTTTAATAATCGAAAAACGCGAAATACTCCACGCATATATATACAACCGTTCAGTTACTTGTAGCGCCGTCTACATTCACCATCTTAATCCTTCTGAGTTTCACAGTCTGATGGTTCATCAAGCTTAAAACTGCTTAGTCCTGAATGGCGACAGTTTCTCGAACCACATATAGTCTAAGCATAAGTGGTTTAAATGTTTACTTGTGGCCACTTAAATCTAAACGCAGGAACAGCGCATTTCGTGGTGACTCTGTCAGTGATATGACGATTAGGTATTGACCATTAGTCAAGAACACTTACTGTTGGGATCAGTCCATACAATCTGGTGAGGCTTCATAACGGGCCTATACAAAATGGATATCTCAGTTTATTGTTGCATCCACAAATTTACGTCATTAGTTCTATCTTCGGGACGTTGCTTTGGATGACGAGGCTTTTGGATTGTGTCTGAGTATCGGTCAGCAATCGTAAATCTGTTTGATTTCATGTACATGAAGATATGAAGAGCTGAACTTTAACGTAATGGAAAGCATGTCGTGAAAGCCTAATGTATGAATGATATGTTCTAAAATAACAGTCAACAAAAACGTTGTTTGATTGTGCATCTTATGTGTCTCTTAGTCATTTGGTCCTCGTCCAAAACAGGTGTAGATCTTAATTGCTGTCACATACTGCGTTTAGCTGATCTGCTAATGTCCCACACATTTTCCTGCCAAACCAAGACATACATGTACCGGAAACTGCTGAAGCTGGCGAACCTATATATTAAATCAGTCTTTTTACATCTACAGGCAACGGTAAAAATATTACATTCTACATTGTTACAACTTCAGCTATGAAGATTAAAATTTCAGGAAGCAAAGCACCGAAGTGCGCGTAGGAAGGGTTGTTTATTCGAATAGCATTAATCTATTTACTGACTGTGAACTCCCCGACAGGAAAGTAAATTCAATACCTCGACTTTCCACTAGGCTATTGGGATTGATTAGCTCAGACCAATTGATACACTAATACCCTCAACTAACTAATCAAGCTTGACATGTTCATCTCATGAAGGGAACTTCCATTTCGAAAAGGTAAAATGGAGAGCTAATTATCGTGTTAAGACACTTATCCGCACACGCTGTCTAAACTATAACAGTTATCAGTGCATAAAGAAATCTCCAAAGTTACATAATTTTAGTACACAGAGCCCGCCAGCATTCCATAGACCGAATTCAGTTATGCTTTTTCTCAATAAAAACAGCCATTTCAGGTGTAATTCGCTAAAGTTACTACATAAGCTAAGTGGAGTACCCTCCAATGAACAGTCTACGGGTGTTTGCGTGCGTCCATTTTGGAAAGTTCTACGGAGTACTTCGTAGGTGCTCCAGCTGTGAATCAGTTCAAACGTTGATTCAAAGCGCACATATGGTAGGCCCAACAAAATCTTAAGCAAAAGTGTTACTGTAGAATGCAGACATGTTCAATCTCGCATTGCTTCCTGAATGCTGAAGTACGCTTGTGACATACC